CCGCCTCGTCGACCGGCCCGACGACCACGAGAACCGAATCGTCGGCAGCGTCCACGGCGACAACGACGATCGCGAAAACGACAGGAACGGCCGGAACAACGAGCTCGGCGGCAAACAGCAATACATGGAACGCGAGTTCGAGCGTGGCTCCCACCGAAACTTCTTCGAGAACGATCGTATCCGGTCAAGACGCGGCTACTTTTCTCTCCGCTTCGAAAAAATCGACCAACAGCTTTAACGAATCGACTACCACACCTGCTTCGATTTCACCGAAGGAAACGCGCGAATCGCCCGGAAAAATTCGCCCGCAAATCAAATTAACCACCACCTACACCAACCTTAGCGAGGTGAGTCATTTATTTTCTTTCCTTTCCTCTCTCTTTTCACCTTCTTCTTCTTTCGTTTTCTCTTCTCCGTTTATACGGAAAAATAGATATTACATCTTACTATAAATAGACGGAATTTCCAAAGGAAGAAAAAATTTGTCGAAAAAAATGGTTGAAGGCGATAAGAAAACGAGCAATTTCAAGGGTTCGCGCGCGATTCGAAAGATCGTGCCGATCCTTTCTACGGGACGAATAGAGTTTCTTTCAATTCGCTCGGTAATCCCATTTCCTTCGAGTTCTTTTAAACGAGCTACGAGTACGCGGCACGTTTCACGCGCAAAGTATAACTGTTCAAGCCATAACTACGTTTAACTATACCACGGGTACCGTAACTACGTTGCTATTAAGCGGTTCAGTTTCACGGCTGAAAGATGTGTCGCGTGCTCGACGACACCGTTCTCGTCCTCCGTTAAACCGTTCGATCGTTCGTTCGCGACCCACCCTCCTCCTCTCTTGGTTAAAATCTCTGCCGATTTAACGGCGAAATCGTTCGATCGAATATTTCATCGATGTTCTTACGGATCCGTAACCCGTTTCCGTCGAATGGGTTTGCATCGATTTCTTTACGATCGTACGTTCTTACGGAGCACCTTGGCGTAACGTTTAGTTTCGGTACAAGATTAATCGCGTCTCAAGATTAATTCTCGTTTTCGCGATGTTCGCAACGGCAAACCTATCGTGTATTACGCTCGAAACATTATACCTTTTCGAACGCCCCCACCGCCGCCCCGGTATATTTCGGTCTGTAGTCAGTTTGTTCGAAGAGTACGCTTACGCGTGAACAAGAAGAGAAAAAAAAAAACGAAAGTCGATTCGCTTCGGTCGCGCGTTACGAAGAAGGAACGTTATCGAAATATTCAGTCTTCGAAAACGTTCCTTTGCCTGGCCAAGAACAAGGCTTTTCGAACGAAAGAAGCGCACGAGCGTTTCGAATTCTCCCAGCATTCCGCGTTCCTATCGTTCTGATCGAGCTGCTCGACGATACGCGGCGTGTCGCATCGATAATCGAAAATCGAACATCAAATATCGAAGATACGACAAGGACGAAGGAGTTTTCGCGGAATGCTCCAATTTTTCCAGCATCTCGACTGGAACTCGAATCTTCCGATTCGTTATTAAACGGTACCGTTCAAAGTTTTCTTTTTTAGGAGATTGTCACGAATCGTATTGCTCGTTTTAGCATTCGTAAATGAGGGCAAGCGTTCGTGACCGTGACGCCTAGCGTGAATCGAGCAACGTTAATATCGGTAGTGGAACGTGACGATACCAAAACGAGCAGAACGATGCAAAAATAAAAGAGTAAAAGAGACATTGAACGACTTCCTGTATAACTCGCCAAGATAACATTTGGTCGGCTGTTTTACGTTCGATCGATACTGCCGCGTTCCGAGTTGTAAATCGGAAGAAAAGCGTGCGATCGAGATCTCGTTGAAATTCGTGCACCCGTGATCACTGTTCGGAACCGATGCAGCCGCGAGCGTTAAAAAATCGCGAAACAACGTTGTCCTTGGAAGTTTCGTCGCTCGAAACGGAATGTGCGATCAGTTGGCGAAAAAGATTGAAAAATATTGAAAGTTTGAGTAGTCGGTGAAACGATTATCCGTCCGCAAGGTTTTCAGAATCGGAAATCTATCGGCGTCGATATTACGGTCATAATAATACGGTGTCGGTCCGTAATAGAGACCGGGCAAGCTCGTGGTTCTCTCGAACCGCCGTTCCGCGGCAACACTCGCAATCGCGGATTCACCACTCTCGCAGATTCTCGTTCGGCCATCGGCTCTCGGCGATTCCGCTCTTTCATTTTTCATCTTTTTTGTTCGTTGCTTCTTCTTAACCGTTCCATCCGATTATTCTCTTTGTTTCACGGTTTGCTCGTTTTCTTCTTTTCAATTACCGCTTTATTACGAAGACACGATTCGTTGCAGACCAAACGAACTCTACAGGGAGGTAATCAAAAATAAAATAGAAAGAGAAAGAGAAGTAAGTAAGTAAGTATGCATGTATATGTATGCATGCCTGTAAGAACGGAAGATAGGAAGGAAGTAAGTAAGGAAGAAAGGCAGAAGAGAAGGAGAATGACCGGTTACGCGCGGCATGACGAATCGACGATCCGAAGAATTTACCAACGATTCGAAGCGTAGGGTGTCGCTTAACGAACGAACGATACGAAAGATTCTTCTTATAGAATAATACTCTAAATACTTGCTCGTGTGAATGAACTGATCATTTAATTCGTCGCACAATTTACAGACAGGCGTACGATTACCGGAAGGTGCGAGCGCGGCACTCGCGAAGCCGACCAAATATCATTACTATCCGCACAATCAACACATCTACCTGTTACCGGAGTGCGCGGTTCAGCAAGTCTGCAACGCGGTTTACGTTAGATTGAACTTTACTCAGCCACTGTGTGCCTGTCCAGGAAGGTACCGCGACCCTTGCAGCGCGTCTCTCGACAGCGACGACCTCCACACTACGGAGCTGGTCACCGACCCTCGAACCAAGGTTAGTCGCCTTTCCTTGCCTTACTTTGCTTTCCTTTCCTTTCCTTTCCCTTCCTTTCTTTCGCTTCGTTTCGCCTCGCCTCACCTAGCCTCACCTTCTCTACTTTACCGATACATTTCGTTATCCTTGCGGGAATAGGTCGTTGTTCTTAGAAAACAAATACACCAGCGATTCGACATCGCGGACGAATTTTATCACGGATTTTGCTCGCAAAAGAAAAAAAGAAAAAAAAAAGAAAAACTAATAAACCAATAAATAGATAGATAAATACGCGTACACGCGTTATGTAGGATCGTGGAACGAAAGAATCGCGTAGGCGGTTCGAGGCGAAAGCTAATTTTCTCTCTACTGGCGGAAACGGTTCTCCGCCATTTTTACTCTGCTGCTTTCTTTCGCGGATCAAGCGATAAAACGTCCAACAACGTTTGCTCGCGCTTTTACCCGTTAACACTCGCTAATACTTTGTCAGCGCTCGCGCGGCGTCGAAAAGTATTATTCTATCGTTGCGTCGCGTTCGCGAAGAAAGTCAAAACGTACGCGAAAGAATTTAAGAAGAAGCGATAAAGAGTAACGGCGAAAAGCTCGCCAGGCTAGAACGCGGTGAAAACGCAAGAAATGCTCACTCACTTTCAACTCGCGTAACGAGTTTTCGAAACTTCTTTTCACGGAGAGACGGTACGTACAGCGAATCCGTTCATGACCGGTTACGATCGAAACGCGATACTTGTCCCAAACGAAAACAACGACAGATTTGTAAGAAACCGGAAGACCTAACATATTTTCCTACGACCGTTGGAAAGATTTTGAAACATATTTCAATCGAACATAGTTCGCGCCTCGATCGTTGTGGTGTCGTAGTGTCGATTAACCGAACGTTGGTTGGTTTAGGCTTTGACGTTGGTGAAAACTTGCGAGCCAGTAGCCGAAATGCGCGAATGCAGAACACCGAGGGATTGGTCTCTTCTCGCGTTACAAAACGTGCGAACAGGAAAGTCTCATTATCTCGTGATATGCCGTTGCCCCGACGCCAACATACTCGGTAAGTAAAAGCCGAAACGTGGGAAACGTACTTAACGGGTTGGCACAGAATGGAGAATGGAGAATTTTGTCGATTATCGTGTCGTAGAAGGTCCCATGAGCCACGATCAACCGACGTACGCCAGTGTACCAGGGATTCGCGTTTACGGAATGATGTGCGTGCAGGGAAGCCGAAGAGGAAGACCGTTGCGATACGCGCGCAGTCTCCCAGGTACACGCGTAGACTTTCACGATTCGTTGCTCTTACGAATTCGCCGGTAATCGGTTAGACGATTATGCGATTCTTCTGCCCACAGATCGGCCGAAAAGCGAAACTAACAAAGACTCCGTGCCGAGCGAGAACGAGCAAGACAACGAACGGTTAAACTTCCCATGGTACAAAGTACAATTATTGATGAACACGGCCGTCTGGGACTAAAACCATCGTTAATCGAATTTTCAACGACGCAACGATGAAAATATCGTTCGAATTTTCTTCGAAATCCGTTCAAAAACGTTCGACCTTGTATTTATTAAACACGTACTTTCGCTTCGCTTCGCTTAGCTACCCTTCGTTTAGAGCAACTCCTCTTTATTTTACTCTCATTCTTCTTCTTATTTTTACTCTTATTTACGTCATAATTGTAACTACGTCATAATATATCTGTATACTCGTACACGATCGAATTCGAATGAGACAAGGTAAAAGGTAAAACTCTATTAACGGTTAAACTCTATAGGGATCGCTTTCCGATAGAGCTGCGAATTTACATTAACGGAATAGTAAATTCGTGGCTCTACCATCCAAGAAATATATCGGGAATCGCTACGGATCCACGGCGCAACCGTACGGCGTTAGGTTAAGAAAGTAACGCCCGCCTTTCATTCGATCGAACGAAAGAAGAATCTGAAGCCGACACGGTAAACAAGTTCCAAGTTTACGTTAAGAGGGCAACAGATGGTTCAGGAATCGTTAAAACTATATAATATTTTCACGATCCGCGATCACAACGTTGCGACGTAGCTCTGTATTAGATCCACGATGCCACGGAATCGCGTACTCGAACAAAAGCAATTGCGAAATAGTCTGGAACGGTTGAAAAGTTGGAATCCGAAATACGCTCGGGACAATACGCCGTAACTGCGTCGAGAATAAACTCGTTGAGAGTACGCGATTCTTCGTAAAAGTATTCCGATTGTAACGAGTTCGAATTATTCCGTCAGTTGCTCGATCGATTACGATAACGTATACATGCGCAGAATATGAAGTATTAAGTAACGCAACATATTTTCGTGAATCCGTCCGGCAGAGATAGATTAAATAGCGTGAAACTCGGGAAATTTGTAAAATTATAATATTATAAACGATCCAACTAAAGGAAAGTACGATGTTTTTCCTTAATTTCATCGGCAAAAATCAGAAACGACGAGTATTCGTTTCGCGAAGAAGCGCGTTTACACCTCGTCGCTGGGAAGAACCGCTGTTCGGATGGATTTAACCGCAACTCCGCGACCGCTACGATTGCTGCGGTCGCGGAATCGTTTTACCTTAATGAAGAAACGCGCGATATAACAGCGTATTCGCTACAAAATATACGCCGACAAATAAATCCGCGTAAAATATACAGTAAATTTGTAAACGTCGCACCAAATCGACTTACCCAGTACGTCCGAATTGACCAGAACGCTGCAGGTATACATCGGTGTGACTAGTCGAGGATGCCTGGAGTTAAACGCGCGGCGACAAACTTCTTTGAACGTCGATATCAAATGACCATCTGCGTGACTCTGAGTTTGCCCGTTACTTTCGCTACCGACACACGCGTTATTTCTTCTTCAGTATTCGATTATCTTTGCTTTAGACAACAACAACAACGAGAGCAGAAGAAAAGTATGGAGAAAGAAAAATATCCTACCTGCCGGAGTCTCGATAAATTTCCCATTTCTTCACGACGAAACAAACACCCGTCATAGGTTCTTCGCACAAAGGACCGGCAAACGTCGCCAGCTGGAAACCATTCACCATTCCGCTTTCGTATCTAGTAGACGAGAAACATCGTTACGCGATTTCTTCGAGCGTGCGAACTTTTTCGAACCTTTCTCTATCTTTCCTAGAGACGCAAACGTCTGTAACGCGCGAGAAACGATCGAAGCAAAAATTCCGACCGGGCTAACGAGCTGACTCGATTATTTCGATCGGATAAAATGTCATAGGAAGACGCGTAAATCGTTGAAATTTTTTATTCGCGAAATACTCACGAAGCGCGTGGATCGCTCGATTTTCGGTGTCCCTCCCAAAACTTTCGTTGCTTATAGTCGGTTTCGTTCAGCAGAACGTTAGAGCCGCAGTTCCTTGGCCCGAACGACCATATCCGATCCAACGTATCTTTTTCTCCAGCTTCGCGAAAAGCAGCCGCTAACTCGCTCTTGAACGACTCCAATTCCCTTTGCTTCCTTTCGGACATCGAGCGCGTCGACTCGTCGGTCCTATCTTTTTCCGTTTCGTTCGCCTTTTCCGACAACGATTTACCGTATCGGTAATAGAGCGCCTTTATTAAATCCGCCTGCTTCTCCAAGATCTTGGTCACTCGCTCCGGCAAAGGTCTCGCGTCGACCTCGAAATAACAACGTCGATCGGCAGTCCAGCCGGCGAAACAGGATTCTTCGATCTTCTTCTCGATCGCCTCGTTCACCATGTCCAGTTTCGGAGGCGGCACGACAGTTTCCCTGAATTGTACGATAGGCTCCGATACGTTCATCTCGACTTTCGCGTACTTGCTTCTCAAGTCCTCCAAGCATCTCTCCAGGTGTACCTCGCCGGCAGTGCTCAATACGATCTCTCCGCTTTCCTGTATGTGAACGAGCGCGCAAGCGTCCGCCTGGTTAAGCAATTTCAAACCGTTTATCAGCGCTTGCAAATCGTTCGAGTGTTTCGGTTCGAGCGCCACCCGCATTATAGGCACGCCGAGCGAAGTTAGTTCCGCGAACGGTGGACAAGCGACGGTCGTTGAAAGAGTGGCCGTTTTCAGCACGTGTTCCTCTAAATCGCCTATCCCGAATACGTTACCGGCGGACACTTTATCCGTCGCTTCCAATTCTCTTCCCATCAAAAGATACAGCCGTTGCACGGTCACCTTGGTCACGTGTCGTCCTGGTCGCAGATCTTTCACCTGCCGGAGTCTCGATAAATTTCCCATTTCTTCACGACGAAACAAACACCCGTCATAGGTTCTTCGCACAAAGGACCGGCAAACGTCGCCAGCTGGAAACCATTCACCATTCCGCTTTCGTATCTAGTAGACGAGAAACATCGTTACGCGATTTCTTCGAGCGTGCGAACTTTTTCGAACCTTTCTCTATCTTTCCTAGAGACGCAAACGTCTGTAACGCGCGAGAAACGATCGAAGCAAAAATTCCGACCGGGCTAACGAGCTGACTCGATTATTTCGATCGGATAAAATGTCATAGGAAGACGCGTAAATCGTTGAAATTTTTTATTCGCGAAATACTCACGAAGCGCGTGGATCGCTCGATTTTCGGTGTCCCTCCCAAAACTTTCGTTGCTTATAGTCGGTTTCGTTCAGCAGAACGTTAGAGCCGCAGTTCCTTGGCCCGAACGACCATATCCGATCCAACGTATCTTTTTCTCCAGCTTCGCGAAAAGCAGCCGCTAACTCGCTCTTGAACGACTCCAATTCCCTTTGCTTCCTTTCGGACATCGAGCGCGTCGACTCGTCGGTCCTATCTTTTTCCGTTTCGTTCGCCTTTTCCGACAACGATTTACCGTATCGGTAATAGAGCGCCTTTATTAAATCCGCCTGCTTCTCCAAGATCTTGGTCACTCGCTCCGGCAAAGGTCTCGCGTCGACCTCGAAATAACAACGTCGATCGGCAGTCCAGCCGGCGAAACAGGATTCTTCGATCTTCTTCTCGATCGCCTCGTTCACCATGTCCAGTTTCGGAGGCGGCACGACAGTTTCCCTGAATTGTACGATAGGCTCCGATACGTTCATCTCGACTTTCGCGTACTTGCTTCTCAAGTCCTCCAAGCATCTCTCCAGGTGTACCTCGCCGGCAGTGCTCAATACGATCTCTCCGCTTTCCTGTATGTGAACGAGCGCGCAAGCGTCCGCCTGGTTAAGCAATTTCAAACCGTTTATCAGCGCTTGCAAATCGTTCGAGTGTTTCGGTTCGAGCGCCACCCGCATTATAGGCACGCCGAGCGAAGTTAGTTCCGCGAACGGTGGACAAGCGACGGTCGTTGAAAGAGTGGCCGTTTTCAGCACGTGTTCCTCTAAATCGCCTATCCCGAATACGTTACCGGCGGACACTTTATCCGTCGCTTCCAATTCTCTTCCCATCAAAAGATACAGCCGTTGCACGGTCACCTTGGTCACGTGTCGTCCTGGTCGCAGATCTTTCAACGTCACCTTCTCCTCGGCCATTGGCTCGCCGGCTCGCGCGCGTTCCAGCGCCTCGCGAGGATCGTGTTTCGGCCCCAGAACGAACACCGTGCTTCCTTTCCTCAAACACCCGGAATAAATTCTCGCGAACGCTATCAACGCGCTTTCCGAACTTTCCTCTTCCTTCCGTTCGTTCGACTTCTCTTCCAAACACTTGTCCAACGATTTATCCTCGGAATTCGAACGATCCGTTTCGGCCACCTCTGTCCGTTCTTCTCTCTTCGCTTTCTCCGCGTGTTTCATTCGCGCCATTTGCCTCCGCTCCGCCAACTCTTCCGGGGTTAACGGTTTCGGTTTGTTCTCCGGCAACGCTTTCTTCTCGATGGGAAACATTTTCGATACGAACACGATCACGGGTGCGTCCTCGGATGGGTCGCAAGCCAGAAACGCTGCCTTCAATTGTCGCGTTTCGTCTGGCAGCGTCGAATAATCGAAATTGCCGCTCAACAAACGTTCCACCTTTTCGGAGGACAAACTGTCGGGTGCCGGAACTTTCTCGCAGATCGCCTCGAGACAAGCGTCGGCCAAAGGCAACCACTGAGAGCAAACGGCTCGCAACTGAGCCTTGCTATCGGTATGCCTTAAATCTCTGCTCGTTAATTTGATATCCAATCGGTCGGCCATCAGAGCCACCTTTTCCCTGTCCTTTCTCACCGTGATCGTTTCGTACAACGCCCAAATGTTCTCCAATATTACCTGAACGAACAGCGGTTTCTTCGCTTTTTCCTGAGCACCTTTCATGATTCTTTTCGTCTTCGAATTCACGTAATAATCTCCCCAAAGCGTCTTCGATAATACCTGTTCGCTAAAACCCAATTTCTTCGAAAATATCCTGGCGAATTCTTTCACGCCGAATCCCCAACCGTCCGTGGCGCTGGAAAACAAAACGTTCCCTTGATCGGGAGAAAAGTATAAACCGGAATCGTCTATCTCGTCCAATGCGGACTGCCATTCGGCGGTCAAGAAATTTTTATCGCCGACCCTCTCTTCGCTCTCTTTTCTTCCCTCCACTTTTTCCTCTCGTTCCATCACGTCGCTGGCAAACAGTTCGCCCATTACCGCGTTTACTTGCTCCAAAACTTGACTCAGATGCATGTACGCGTCCAACGGTGACAGTTTCATTTCCGTGATCAGTCTATCGACTTTGTTCAATACCAAAATCGGTTTCAACCCTTCCGCGTACGAAATCGAGAGCGCGCTTCGAGTTTGCGGACACACGCCTTCTACCACGTCCACCACGATTATCGCGCCGTCGCAAAGCCTAACCGCCGTTGAAACTTCCGAAGCGAAATCCACGTGTCCCGGAGAATCTATCAAGTTGATGCAGAATTGCTGTCGGTGATACTCGTAATAAAGGCTGATGGAACTTGATTTCATCGTAATTCCTCTTAATTGCTCGTCCGGACGGCTATCCAAATATCGTAGTTTCCCAGCCAGTTTACTAGAAATGATTCCATTGTTGGCAACCAACGAGTCCGCCAACGTGGTCTTTCCATGATCGACGTGAGCCAATATACAAATATTTCTTACGTTACTAGGATTACTTTGAATATCGATTAACTTTTCTCCGCCAACAAGTCGCATCCTGCGATTCTATGTCCCAAATATATCTTCCGGATAATCTGTGCTACTGTCTACGTCTCCACCTCGGTCCTTGCCTCTGCCTGCTCTCCCGAATGTGGTTGTACCTGTGTGCGCGCGTTAAACGCGGTGCGAATATCCAACTGAAATCTTTGAAATCGCAAAACAAATCGTTAATGACCTTATCTAATTTAACCACGAAACAAGATATAACGTAAATTCGTTAAAAATCGAGTTTCGATGTACCAGAGATTTTCGTGCGAGATGCGCGTCTAAATATATTAACTTTTAATAGTTACGCTATTAAATAGTAAACACTATTTCACTTTATTCTGTTTCCAAAACACGTAACGTTCAACGAACAAGAGGATATATCGTAGCCGTGTTGGCATCGTCTTCGTCTTGCCCAGCATGCCACTCGTTTCGACCACGTAATCGCCAATGATGACAATGACGACGACGTCGACCAATTATTCGTCAACGATCGACCGTTCAACTTGCTCTTTCTTCCGTCGATCTCACCGAGCGTATATTCGACGAGCCAAAAACCTGCTTCACGCTTTTCCTTATTATTGTAGGTTAGGATCATCGATGAAACGCGATCTCGTCCACCGACTAACCTTATCTTCGGCTATTTTTCTTCGTGAATAAAACAAAACGCTGCTCAGACTTTTAACAAAATATTAACTTTTGTTAACGAAGCATTCTCTGCGAATCTATCGACTAATCAAAAGCCTAGCTTAAATTTAATGCCTTATCAATTGATTGACTATGGCTGATACGATATATCGATGTCTCGATTCTACGTATTTTTCGACTCTAATCTCGATACGTTCGATAGTTATTTCGATGCACCGATACCACCTATGCCTTCGATTGCGATATAATTATCGACATTTCGATACAACCGCTGAATTTCGAACCAATTTATTATGCATATTATACTTATTCCTGTACTAAAACATTATACTCCTATTATATGGCACGACTGATTATGTTTTGCACAATCACCGGATATAATAGGTTCAAATTTCTCACGATGTTCTACGAATCCGTTTATATCGAAGTTATATTGAAAATATCCAAGAGATTATCGAACGTCGTTAAACGGTTAAAACGTTTCAAAGAATACTCAAAATATTAAAATAAATAAATAATTTGTATACGTGCGTATACATAGGTACAGAATTTTGTATAATTACGAAAATCTCTCTTTATGTCTACGCAGTATAAGCGCGGCACTGCCATCCATAACACGTTGTAAGACCTAAGATAGGTTCCCTGACTATTTTTTCGTTCTCTCTCACTCTCTCAGTCCGGCTTCTATTCCACAGTTTACACTCCATTTAGAATCAGTTGTCTAGGATCGACTATGATAAAGCTGAATCTAATTTGATGCATATAGGCTGATCGGTATCAATAACACCTTGTCTGTCATCATTTCGTCATAATTGCTGCAGTGCAATATATAGCTTGCACGTAAGTATGCATATGTGTTATATGTACATATATATATATATTGTATATGCCATCCATGCCGAAAGAACAGTTTGTCGATGTAGAGTGCAATGCGAAAGCCAGGTTAGTATTTTATTTTAACAGTAGTTAATTGATAACGAAATGCATGATTTTTTAATCTTTTAATTATCGACTTTCGTGAGCATCGCGCAATATTTCGATAACGCCATGGCACAACGCGAATATTAAATACTACGGACGTGGCTGCCGCATTGGTACGAGTAACATATTCTCCTGTTATCTGGAGAATATTCGAAAATACAAAATTCTGTCTAATGTAAATTTTATGAAATAATTTAATACATTGTCTATAACATTTGCTTAATTGTATTTTTAGGTGTTTTTACGTGTTATGAGAAGTTGCAACCGTTTTAAACAGGTTTTAAACAAGTTGCATCATCCAGAATAATTTTGTTACTACAACTATCAATTATTATTTCTTTTAATCGTTTAATGAATTAAACTATCGGATAATCAACTTTTAATATATACGTTACAACTGAACGTGACTATCGAAGAAGAGGGAAAAAGGTGTCTCTATATAAACGGTAAACATGCCTGGAAAACAGATGCCGGATACCATATTGGGTAATCATTCTTTTTTTTCTTTTTTATTTTTACTACTATGCATGCTAAATTATTTTCATGCTTAAGATAAACCGTACTTATTTCTTTGTATAGTAATTTAGTAGCTATTAACAGTGTCGTAGTAGCAAAAAACTTGGATACTATTCACAGTTTTTACGTACAAGAATAGAGAAAGTTCTAGTACTTTATTTTACCGTTTATTTCAGATGCAATTTATACTTCTGAGAAAAGTGGAAACGACGAAACAGGAGATGGTTCTGAATCTAATCCTTTCAAAACAGTTTTGAAAGCGATGCATTCTGTCGGAAAAGAACCGTTTCCTCAGATTTATCATGATTCTTCCAAGGGCAGCGAAAAGTATGAACTTGTATCTAAATCGCAATTGAAAAAGATACAAAAGATTTGGGTACGAGAACAATACAAAAGCGAAGAAAAACAAAAGAAGTTGTTGGAAGACGAAGAGAAGAGAACAAAGAATTTAGAGGATGCTAAAATGATCGTAATTCAAGAGGATAGTACTTTACCGCCTGCAATTCGTATCAAAATTAGAGACAGTATTGCGTATCGAGATCGGCGAGTAAAACTTTACGGATGGGTGCATAGACTCAGACGTCAAGGTACGATGCGATATAGTAATTTATTACTGTTTTATAAATATCTATTTAACCCGACATTATTATAGGTAAAGCGCTTATGTTCGTTACGTTAAGAGACGGAACTGGTTTCCTGCAATGTGTACTCAACGACATTTTGTGTCAAACGTACGAAGCTTTGACGCTATCTACCGAAGCTTCGATAGAAGTATTTGGAACTCTCAAGATCGTACCGGAAGGAAAAAATGTATCGTACATTTTCCTATCATATAATAGTGCACGAAATTAATTTTATCAAGAGCTATTAAAATTCTCTAGCTTTTGAATTGTAGGCTCCTAACGGACACGAATTACTCGTCGATTACTGGAAGTTAATAGGATCGTCTCCATCCGGTGGTGCAGATTCTATCTTGAACGAAGAAGCTCTACCCGATGTGCAGTTAGACAATAGACATATTATGATTCGCGGTGAAAATGTACGATAACGTTAGGCGTTATCCGTTATAACATAATTGAATAACTTTCAGTTACCGAATCTTTTTATTTAATCGAGTAACGATCATAATTTCCCCTTTTGTTTCAGACATCTCGTATATTAATTATGAGATCTATATTGACGCAAGCATTTAGAGATCATTATAAGGACAGAGGTTATTGCGAAGTAACGCCACCTACTCTGGTGCAAACACAGGTAGAAGGTGGATCAACCTTATTTAAACTAGATTATTTCGGGTAAGTTAGAAAAAATAAAGTTCAATACTGTTGCAAATGCCATTTTCACGTTTATTTTTCGATCGGTTGTATTTTAGTTTTCTTCGGATATGTTTCGTTTTTAACACACGTTTATAATTGAATCGTTTTGACAAGTTTATATTAAATTTTAGAGAAGAAGCGTTTTTAACGCAAAGTTCGCAACTTTACCTCGAGACTTGCATTCCAGCGATGGGAGACGTATACTGCATCGCTCAATCTTACAGGGCAGAGCAATCGAGAACTCGAAGACATCTCGCAGAGTAAATATAAAGAAGTTATGATGGTCGCTTCGTTTACGCTTATCCTCCTATACGGATATGCGTATCGAATGAAACCGATCATAATAAATTTGTATAAACGTGTCATGTCGAAGTTTTTTCATTGTTAGATATGCCCACGTGGAGGCAGAATGTCCATTTATTACGTTCGAGGAACTACTTGATCGATTAGAAGATCTGATATGCGACGTAGTTGAACGTGTTCTAAATTCACCTTACGGCCATCTTGTCAAAGAATTGAATCCCAACTTTCAAGTACCAAAGAAGCCATTTAAGAGAATGAATTATACCGATGCTATCGAATACCTTAGAGCTAACAATATAACTAAAGAAGATGGGACATTTTACGAGTTTGGCGAAGTAAGTTCGATTAACCGACTTTCTTAAAAAGAATAATAACAAATTGGAAAGAAGGAAGAAAAATTGGTGTTCACTTGTTTCCCAGATTTTTTTTAGAAATCTTTCGTACGAAAAGGAATATCGATCAATTTTAATAACGGCGACCTTTTCTCTTTCTAGGACATTCCAGAAATGCCAGAGAGAAAAATGACTGACGCGATAAACGAGCCTATAATGCTGTGCAGATTTCCCGCCGAGATTAAATCGTTTTACATGTCACGTTGCGCCGAAGATAGACGTCTTACGGAATCGGTGGATGTGCTTCTACCAAACGTTGGAGAGATAGTCGGAGGTTCAATGCGTATTTGGAAGTACGACGAATTATTAGAGGGTTATAAAAACGCAAATATCGATCCAAAACCTTATTATTGGTACACAGACCAGGTATTTATCAGATATTTCTTCATATCATCGTCTATTACCGGTAACTAATTTTGAACAAATTTTTATCTAGCGAAAATATGGAAGTTGTCCTCACGGTGGATACGGATTGGGTTTAGAAAGATTCTTATGTTGGCTTTTAAACAGGTATCATATACGCGAAGTATGCCTTTATCCTCGTTTCCTGGACCGTTGTCGTCCTTAAATGCATTGCATGTTATTCATTTCTGTATCGGTATACCTTAATTTCCAGCAAAATTATAGAATAAATCAAGGCTTTAAACGATAAAGCGTATAAAAATTTACCAAATTGTTTGTTCATTATGTAAATAAATATATCGCGTCCCATTAAACCGCAACGACAAAAGAAAAAAGCTTTTCTATGTACTTGCATGATTTTTCTTTAGAGTAATTTCAGCGAAACGTTATTTTATGGTTTCCCATTTTCCTTTTTCGGTCAATCTCATTTATTTTCGAACAATCGAGATTATCTATGATACAATTTTTATGGGTCGGCTTAAAATAAATCCATTTAATTTCAATTATATTTTCATTACGTCAATATACATACTTATGGAACAATTAATATAATTTATCGTTTGTTTTAAATACTTCTTTACGCGGAAAACATTCTTGAAAATACGCTTCGTCACAAAGTAAATAAATATAAACGCGATTGCATTCTTTTAACAAGAAGTTAATTGCATAATATTAGTTTGCGATTATACAAGTAAGATAATATATTACGTTCGTATTTAAATAATTACTATTAACAATTCAATGAATCGGCACGCGATCATTGTATCGGCTGGTGTTCGCGACATAGAAATGTACATTTAACAAAAGATGAAAATTATCCAAACAACAACAACAACAATAATAATAACAACAACAACATCGACGAGAATTAATACGGCGTTGAAACGGTTAGGGGGAAAGAAAAAAAGGAAGAGAAAAAAAAACTATTTGAATACGCGCAAAAATGCATTCGATGAAAATTTAATCGACTATGTTACGCGCCATAATATATAATTAAATTTACAGTCGACGACAAGAGGAATTTTAACTTTTTGTAATCGTGATAATTTAACGATTCCTTGTTCCTGTCTATTTCTTTCGCGCGCCCGCTTGCGTCACTCTTTCTCGGTCGTTTCACTTTACAACTTTATACCGTAACTTGTTTCCATACTTTTCCACCCTTTCTCGTTTGCGAAAGCTTGCTCGTTTAATCGCGAAATCGTAGAATCTTCGGCGAAAAGGTCGAAAAAGGGGGAAAAAAAAAACTTTATACAACGTAGAAATTTCGTCGAGGCAAGGTGTAACAAGGAAAATAAGAGTTCGTAGGCGATAGAAGCGACGTTAAGCAGTTTATCGTATCCTGGTCGATTTACGAATCACGCGATTCGAAATATTTCGCTAGTAGAAGGTTAGGCATATTTTGACTATTCTAGTACAAAGCGTGTACAACGCAATCGCGCTCTGGTAACTGACGAACTTTCATAGATCCATCTGCACCGCACGAGAATAAGCGTCCAGCGGAATCGACGTGCAACTGCGTCACGCCCTGAAAAACATTCTTGACGTTGTTATTTATAGAAACGCGTTTTAATAAAACCAAATCAACTTACTTGTCCAATATTTTTGAAGAAACTCGATCGTGGATGCTCCGCAGGAAACGAATACAGGAGAGAATGGACGGTCAAGCCCCAGATCTGTCCGAGACGAAGAACAAATTCGTTAACGTATACATATTTATACATATACTTGATTCGAATGCGTTCGCGTACAACCTTGATATCGCCATCTCCTGCACCGCTGACAAAAAATTCTTCGTGCGGATCGAGAGCCAAACACTTGATAGCAGATTCGTGGGCCTGGAAACGATGCCGTTGTTGTCGTTGTCTAACGTCGAAAATATTAATGTCCCCTTTCTTTCCTCCGCTGATCAGAAGTTGGTGTTGAGGCGCAAGTATCAACGAACTCGCTCCTTGCTCGTGACACGTGAAACCTAAAGCAGATAGAAATAGGGACCGAAATAAAACGAGAATGAAAAAGGAAGTAGAGAAAAATTTACGTATCTACATAGAGATTAAAATCCACACCTTGTATCAATGATTTATTTTGAGGAAGCAGAGTATCCCAAAGAGCAACGTTGCGTCCCTCTGAACCATGACCTGCCGTTGCTATTAGACTGCACGCACCGAGGAAGACAAAGTCAGCCGTCACTTTGCCATGACATTGATAATTCTAAATAAAAAATATCATATCGTATCGGAAGTTATACCGATTCGTCGATCGAACTGTACGAATACAGTAAGAATAGAAGTTCTTACGAAAAATGGTCGAGCCGTCCCTTCTCTGCAGGCCACTTGGAACAAACTGAGATGCCCGTCGGAATCGGCTACACCGAATTTATTTCCATGTTGCGAGAAACGTACGCGGGTTACCTTGGCGAAAGTGCCCGGTGGTCTAGGAGTCGCTACAGCCGTCTGATGTCCCCATTCCCAAAGCGATACCGAACCATCTTGAGAACCGGTCAAATCTGTGTGCGGCACGGCGAATACGAATTGAAAAGTGGTATAGGATAATACGTATATTTCGAATACGTAGTAAGTCGATAATACATATACATAATATATAATATGCTTACATAACGGTAGAAGCGGGTGCGACGAGATTCTTCTGATGCCGTCGATCTTATGCTTCAAGATCTGTCGAAAGAATAAAATATTAAAAACAAATTAGATCGGGATCTCGATCGTCGGTAAAGTGTTCAATTCTAAACAAGATTTACGTACACGTAAATCTACTAAAATTCGATTAAACGAAAAAGATTAGCGCACGACTATTATCAGGATACGATGGAAGGACGAAAGAAAAATAAGGCAAAACAAGAAGAATAAGTTTTATATTCTACGCATATCGTCTGAAATATAAAAAATAATTAGCTGGGTCGTATTTCGCTAAACGCATGCTATTTTTGTTATCTCGTTTTCTCGTTTTTCGTATTGTTCCGTCGCTATTCGAGAAAGCAAAATCAACGCATTGCGCGATAAACGATCGCTCCCGTCGAACGAATCGATGAAACGAACTGATTTTTTAAGTTCACTTCGTTTCACAGAATTCGGCGGCACGCCGATCTACCGAGGCAAGGTACCCTCGATTGTTCGGGTCCACCAGATTTTCTTTCCCTTTTGCTTCAAAATGGAAATCGTAACAATGGGAATCCGAACGAAACCTAGTAGACCCGCGATCTGGTAATCGAAAGAAAATACTCCTTTTCTAACGACGCGAGCCGACGAACTAAATAATGTCAAGTAACAACACCAAATACTACGAACAACATTCCGAAAACAATTGTGTATATTTAAAAAGTAGGAAATATTAACGCTCGAATTTTTCGACGCAAAAGAAAAAGAAACCATTGATCAAGCATGCAGTATCTGATTTGAGCGTAAAATTTGAGAATTCACAACTACGAAACCGTCGTGCCTATCGATACTTTCTTCGTTTATGATGCATTCTTGATATCTAATTAGTTTTACTTGTTACAACTGCGCTAAAGTAAAGAAAAATATTTCATTTCAGGCAAAATAAAAGTACGTGAATTTTGCTATAAAATTAAGAGTCCAGGTAAATTTGATGAAACCTTTTTGTTTAACGTAAGATAAGATAATACGGTATGGCACGAAAACAACGATGTCAATGATGACGATGAGACGACAACGATGGCGAGGACGGCGACGACGGCGACGACGACGACAATGACGACGACAGTAATTGTAGCAATAGTGATTATTAGCGATGCATGACGACGATGACCGTAACAATGACGATGACGGTGACGATGATATTAATATGGATATCGAGAACGGATAACGAAGACGAAAGCAATAACAATGACGGCTATGCCAATAGCGATAACAAAAAAAAGAACAATGATAATAATGATAATGACGGCGATGATAACGATGATACCGTAGCAGATAAACGCAAATACCGAATGATCGCCATGCTACACGGTTTTGATATTAATTAAACCTATAAAGATTTGAGAAGAGATTAACCAGAAACAGGCTTCCATTTACAGCGACATGCCTTGCCAAGGTGCATTATGTCGCGTCGATTTTTTCACGTCACGTTCCTAGTGCAGGTAATAACAAGACAGAATACGTGATCGATGGCAGATGATCTTAAACGTAATAAAATTGTAAAGAGTTTCGCGTTGTTTCGCGTTCTTTCGCGGTCATCGAAATATTCGACAAAGAAAACGTATCTTATAGTACATAAGATGAACCTTATCGACGCGACACAACGATCAAATGAAACTCTTACGCTTAGAATGTTACAAAGTAAAGCGGCTTATTAACGACGCTCGAAGGCAACGAGACGAACCTAAAGAAAAAGTTGAACGGAACAGAAAGCGATAAAGAAAGAAAAGGAAGAAACGGAAGAACGAAGAACGAAAAATCGAGTAACAAAATTGCCACTAGGATATCGGGATATTAAGATACAGTAGAGGCTAGGGTCTGTTAGAAGTTAATCTCACCGGTTGCAACAAGTGTTTGCTCCTATCGGCAACAAATTGACAGAAACGCAGGTCGTGGGAGCCAGGAAAAGCGGGCATCCCCTTCATCTGAGCGAGCGAACGAGCCACCAGGTCAGTGACGGCGGTCAGACGCGAACCAAGTTAGACCAAGTTAGGCAAGCATTGAACAAGGAACATCGTTTCCGTCACCAGATATGCTGATTTTACGCGACCCAAATATACCGATTTATAGCGACGGTTACTCGTACTCGAAACGATCGTTTCAAATCGTCGAAGCTTCTCTCTCGCGAGTTTCTCGCTCTCTATTATTTTCGTCTCTTCGTAACAACTAACAATCGTCGATTCGGTTAGCGATCCCATCATTCGCGAAAGACAAGCCTCGAGAGGATCGTGTTTTAACCGCGCTTCTTGCAACGTTCAAACTTGCTTACGGCAAATGTAACGATATACATACTTTCTTTTTGCGATTTTACGCTCGAACGGTACAAGCTTTATCCAAAGCGACCAAATATCGTGCCGCGAAATAATCGCGATCGCGTCTCTACTTTCTCTTTTTCTCTAAAAATTTATATTTTTCGATTGTCTCACAAACTGTAAAAAAAAAAACATTATCCGATCGATAGGTTTCCTTTCTCTTCTCTTTTTCTTTCTCCTTCTTAAGTTCCTTCTTCGTCTCCTTCTTAATCTTGTTGTTATTATCATTATTTTTCTTCTCGCTATGTTTCTTTTATTTTCAATTTAAGTCGAACGATCACGCGTGTATGTACATACGGAAAAAATTAACGTATTTGGGTATCGTGTGTCACAAAAACATTTAGGTCGGGTCTGAGCGAGGACACGATACGAGACGAGACTAGACGACACGACACATGACACGATACGACACGACATAGCACGATACGACGTGAAATCTTCAAGAAGAGACAAACGTATACGACTGTACAGGGCTCGATGGTTAAGTGTACGAACGAATTATTTTAACGGTTATTTTAGAAAGGACTTACCACGCTAGCACCTCTTCCGCTTTGACTCGCGATACCCGACTGTGGTTGCGGACTGTTCGTCTGTGGACTCTGAGCCAATAACGGTCGATCCGCCGCTGTCTACACAGGAACGAATGGATCGAAATTCTGTGCTACGAATAACCGTACATATTATCGAGTGTAATTACCTGGATAACCAGGAAACTGGTCGGTTGTACCGGTTCCGGTTCCGGTTGTTTGTTCAAATTGATGATATCGAATTCGCATTCGTCTTCTAACCAGGATGGAAGCTCGAGCAACAACGATATATTCATTTCTTGTACTTCTCGTGGAGTAGCCAAAGCCATTAAACCTGGAGTAACCTGTATCGTCGTTTACATAATATTAATCGACGTTTTTTTTTTCTTTTTTTTCTTTTTTTCTTATGATAGAAACAAATAGAAAGGATAACGGATAAACGCGAAGAACAATAGACGAATAAATGAATTCGACAAACCTGATTCAGGCAAAAGGCACTGATACTGTCTTGTTCCTTGTGAATAATTCGAACGGGTTCGGGCAAACTGGTGGTTCCGCTATCGCTCCCCTTATCATCGGTCGTTCCTCGATTCAGATTGTCGATCGTCGTTTGATTGTTGTCCAAAATCGACGACAAACATCTACGTTTGCCAAATACTGCGCGAATGAAAATATCCTGCACCGATTCTTGTCTTACCAAGTAGCACCATAGTCGATTGGCGGGGGCCGCCGA